TGACCCCGAGGAGCTAAGCCATTCCTACTTGCTGTGTGCAGTTTGTGAATTCATTTTTGCTGGAGACAGAATTTTGTTCCCTCACTATTGCTCTCCCAGGAGTGGCCAGCACTCTSTGAAGGGTGGCAGAGAGAGCTGTGCTGTGACCCTCTCCTACATCCTCTGCTGGGAACAGTGACAAACCTGAACTTGACAAATGCAGGTTTGAGTGAGGGACTTATTTCCAACTTGGCTGCCCTTTTCTTTCCTCCTCTCTGCATATGAAGATCTCTATTAAGAAAAGATTCACTTTATCTGATGTCAAAGAGAAGGRTGGGATCTTTAAATTTATGTAAGCATTTGACTTAGACTGAGCACAAAATAGGAGGAATCTGCAATTTTTTCAGGAACAGGTGTCCAAAAAAAGTATTTCTTTTACTCAAAGGCTCTGTTTTTTTATATTCTGAGGGTTCTTTGTGTTGTTCCTGAGTTTTGAAATGGGGGACTTCCTTTGAGGGAAGAAGGCTTGTTTAGCAGTGGTAGAACAAGTGCATTTAAGGTTAAAGCTCAGCACAGACCAAGTAGCCACTGGGAAATAAAACAGTTCTTCAAGTTTTATAATTGCCACAAAGCATAAAGATTCCTGAAAGCCAACTCCATTGGAGCCTCTGTGCCAGGCTGCACTCTCCTCCTCAGGATCCAGTCATTCCTGTCCTGGTCTGCTGCCCAGGGACAGCTAAAGGTGACCCTGCTCTCAGACACCAACCAGCCAGYTGTGCTCTTTCTGGCTGGTCACAGCTGGGCTTTCGGCCTGGTATGGTGAAGTAGCTACTTTGTTGTGTTACTGCAGTTGTTTCCTGAATCATCCTGAAAGGAAACTTCTGAATAAGCTCAGCAAAATGTTCTCTCTTTTGCTAGTAAACACTGTGATGTTTAATTGTTTCTCTCACCTCACCCTTTTGCCTATTATCTCCTCAGTATCTTGATTGTTAACAAATAGCACGCCCCATTTTTGTTCTGAGGTGTAGGATATACAGTGGGGTGCTGACATAATGGGAACAAATGACACACAAGGAGCACTCACAACACATCATGATTCTCTAGCTGCAAGAGGAATATTTTACAGGATGGATCTGCAGACAAGAATATTTATATTCGAGCTAGTTTAGGAGCAGCTCCAATACCACAGGCTGTAAAACCCACCACAGCTTCAGGCTAAGTGTCAAAGCCTGCCCATGATGTGCATGATCTTGTTGTTGCTACACTAATACCAATACACACATCAGCWTTAGCTACATAACCCAGGTATGATCACTGAGGATGAAATGGAACACCTGGATTAAAGAAGAAACAGGACAAAGGAAGCTGCCAGTTCCTGGTGACTGGATGCATGTTAGCTGGGACAGGCTCTAGGACCAAAGGTTCGCTGTCTCTGCAAGCCCCATACCTGAGTGTAGCCCAGGAGATGAAACTGGAAAAAGCACTCATATTCCATTCAGAGAGATCAAAGTGAAACAACATTCAAAGAAATGTCACAAAGACTTTGAGGTAACACCTGTATTCAGACAACCTGAAAAATCTCATTATTCTGGCTGAAGCCAGATCACCAGGGTTGTGGTTAACATTAGTTACAGTGTTCCTCTTTACATTCTTGGCAATGCCTGGAACTCAGATGTAAAATAGGCAGGGATGCTCTGCTCATTCTTGTAATATTACTTGAGTGCTCTTCCATCCATAGACACACCATAAAGATGACCAAGTTGGGCGGTGGGGGGAAGGAAATATTTTCTCTTTCCCCCCTGCTAATATGAGACAAGATCTTCAAAGCAGGAACAAATGTTATAGGGTTTAGCCTAGTTACTTGTTTAGAAGGCTCATTATCCAGGTGGGAGCTGAAGGAAAAGAAAGGACACTTCCTTCAGGTATGAGGCTGTATTCAACTCCAAACCAGCCTACCTCACTGGCCACTTGCTGCCACTTGAATGAGCAAAGGGCACATCCCTGCTCTTGAAGCAAGGATGCCAATAGCTTAACCAGTCAGAAAGAAATATGGTGTTTTTTTTCAACTCAGTGCTCAAAATTTGGTTCTGAATTCAGCAGGATTTTCCACCTAGCACAGAACAAGGTACTGCTGAAGCTGCTGATATGCTCTTGTGTTTCTCCTACACTTATAAGTACAAATTGCTCTCCTGACTCTGAGCTGGGAAGTTTCTTTTGTTACACTTGAAACACAGCAGAGCAAGTAACTTGGCTGATGACTGCTTACTGCTTTGACACAGCAGCTCCTAAGGGGGTCCTCAGAAAGCAACAATTATTAAAAAAATGTAGTGATATGCTATTCAAAACCTTTCAAAGTTTTTTTTTTTCAAAGCATTACAGCTTGCACAAGCTAATAAAGGTTTGTAGACTAACCTTTTCCCCCAAAATACTTCCTTTGCTTTACAGCCACCTCAGTGAACAGAAAATGTGGGCTTATGACCTTTTGTTGAAAGGCAGATAATCTTACCCTGCATTGGAAGAGAACCTCCACAGAGCCCTCTGTGGCAAAGCACACACARGGGAATGGAAGAGCTGTGAAGACACAGCAGAATCTTGGCTGTGGAGAAATTTCCAASCAGATTGGACTGAACTGGGCATCCAAAGTCCTTCAAAATTACTAGGTTTSCAGTGTAATAAAAACAAATGTTTASTCATTAAACCCATTGGCTTTTGCTCACTGCACCTGTCTGCAAGAGTACTATTATTTCCTCTTGAGGACTTAATTTTCAAAATATGGCAGGATGAGAAATATCTCAAGAAAGATGGTTTGTTTTCCATTGACATGTCAGGACAAGAGTATCCCTTTAAAAGAGAGTCTCTTCTGGGAGACTTCCAGATAAAACCAGACAGGAAGAAAATGTAACCAAGTGTGGTAAGTGTGACAGATGGCTCTATGTTACTGTCCAAATGCTTTTGTGTCACCAAGAATCCTTTGCTCTTTTTGCTCTTTTCCTCAGCCTACAGATCTCAAGATATATATTACATCCTCAGCTCCAGCCTYCAAAGGTAAGACAAGGATATGACAGAACTCATTTCAGCATCATGCCTCCAAAATGCAGAATACTCTATTTATATACAGAATTCAAATTAACAGAAATTATAATAAATACTAAACTCTCCACTGCATCACCCTCAGAAAGCCACTCTAAGAAGCTTTCACTTCTGAAACAACTTAAGATATGAAGATATCTTTATCTGCCTATACTTTCTGACCAACTCCAGTCACTGTAAGAGTCAGCCATCAAAAGAAGCCAAGTCTGAAACTGAGAGGGTAAAGAATCTACCAAATTATGATTTCTAGGAATAAAAAAGGAAAACAAGCACGATTACATAATCTATTTATCACTAAGTTATGTTCAGAAACAATTACTAATACAATGTTTATTCTAGTGTACTAGAATAAAGTATTTTAGAAGCATCAGAGCAAACAGTTTTGCTTCACATTTTAGAAGCATCAGAGCAAACAGTTTTGCTAAGTAGGTTTCATGCATTTATAAACCTATTACACACAAAGCTTTCCCCGGTAAGCTTTTGATCTTGTTCTTCCCATTTCACATTGAGGGTACAACACTAACATCACACATGAAATAAAGCAAGAGTTTCAGTTGAGGTGTGACCTTTGATARTGTAAGTAGCATACCTTTTTTCAGAAAAGAGGGCAGTAAGTCCAGAAAGTTTTCATAATTATTGTGAATAGTTAAACATATTGATACATTCAAAAATCATGCTTTTATTTTCATCTGAACAGAATGYGAATAATTGTTATTAAATTAGTCAGACAGTTCTTAGACCAGTCATCTGGTTAGAAAAATCAATTTTCCCCTTATTTTTTACATCAGCTCTGCTTTTCCTTTGATTTCATTAGAGGTTGTACTTTTCAGAAACAATTCTTACCTGTTAACCGCTGAAAGCCCACCTGGGTTTTTTGCAGTGTTTTGCGGAAGACTATTATATTAAAACTGTTCATCTGTGCTAATTAGATACATCCGTTTCAGAAAATAAATCTGTGTCTATAAATCACTTCTGCTTGGGCATGTATAAATTAGGCTTGCAGACGTTTTGAAACTGAATGAAGAAGTGCTTTARGGGTACAACTTCAGCCAGACATGTGGTATAAGTGACCTCTGATGTGAATGTTTCCTGTACTTGTTTTTGAGGTGATAAGATACTGTGTTTTCTAATACTGTGTTTGTGCTGCAGGCCTTTAAGCAGAAAAGCAGCAACAAGATTATCTTCTGTCTTGTACACAGTAATCCCGCTGTATTCTAAAATCTGTATAAATTACAGATAGCAAGCAAGGCCCAATTACTGCAACCTCAAAGCTTCATTTCTGCTATCTGAACTAGGTGAAAAGCATGGGCTTCTTTTCCTTTCCTGAGAGGAATGCAGAATTCCCAGCCTATTTGCAGGGCTATTACCTGGAGAGGCAGCAATGAGATACTTATTCAAGAGCAAGCATCGATTTTCATGAGTGGATGTGCAATGTATTTTGCCTTCCTGCCAGAAACAGCAGTGCAATAAAACATGACAAATGAGATGCCTATTCCTGCAAGATTTTGTGTCYCAGTTCAACAAACCCCTCAACAGGTATGACTATACTGCAAAAAAAGTAGACATTCTTTTTACTGTATAATCCATAGTACTCATAACATGAAAACTGGGGACYGCCAGACTTCTCATCATACATCTGCCCTGGGTGTCATCTGCCCAAACGTGTCCAGTCACCTGAGCAGTCAGTATATTCAACCCTGTTTTGATGACAACTTCATATATGTAGTGTAGATATATGTCATAGGACTATAAGTATTAAAATTAAGGTYCTAAATGTATGTTGCTGATCAACAGTGAAGCAAAGAAGAAATTACATATGATTTATGTAATTATTCTATCTCATCAGGCTCCTTGGAGCTTCAAACTTAAACATGTTTACATAAATAAGAAACTGTGTGACATTTGCAGAACTTGTTTTTCTTGTACATTACCTTTAAAACAAAGCAGTGATCTGTAGGTGCCTTATATTTCGCTTTGTGTTGATAACCATAATACACGTTCACGTTCTCAAACTGAAGGAAGCATGCCAGATCCCGTGATGTCTACAAACGAAAAACAAACCCATCACTGTTAGAACAAATTCAATTTTGATGTGAAACTCATTGACAGGACTTTTTGTAAGTGCATGAATGCCAACAATTTTGATTTCTATAACTCTCATGAAGCTGACTGAAAAAACAAAGATTAATTTTAAGTGTCTATTTTCTTAAAATAAAAACTGGAAAACAGTCAATACATATTATGAATAATCTACAACACAGTTCAACATTTTGCTTCATTGATTTGTATGGAGATTTCACCTTAAGGCTAATAAGACCAAAGAAAACACCATAGTAAGAAACCACATCCTTAAAATTCTGAGTGGAGAAAGAAGGCTTGGGGTTCTAAATTGCTTTGGGAGCTTGTTTTACTATCATACATGTAACAAACAAACCCTCATCAGGAAATAACCACCATTTAATCTGTCTTGCTTTGAATTTTCTTGTATTTCCTGGCATCATTCCATTTCTGTTTATCATAATATTTGCTTGTTCACAATCTATTGCTAAAATAACAAGGTTTCTGTTGCTGGCATGTTTCTCAGTGAARAATTTTCCATACAGTAACTTTTTCAATCCTTTGGGTGGAAATGCAAAAATAGCCATTTCACATGGTCACTGTGGGCTAAACTAAGAAATCAGGAAAATGTGGGGGGAAAAAAGGAAAAAKAAAACAACAAACCACAAGCCCTCTCTACCCCTCAGAATGGGGTATGATATGACATGGGGGTATGATATAACATGCACATGATGGTGCTTGTTTGCTGTTCTCATTCTTMATGACACTTTCATTACAATATACCCTTGAGCTGACTTTATTTACAAATCGAGTTTACAAGTAAGATTCATGGGGAAACACTTCATACTGGATGTAGACAGGGCTTCTGTGTCTCTCCTGACTCCACTGAAGCTGATGATGCCAAAGATTTTGTCAGTGAATTTGTGGACCTTGGTTTATCAACCATTTTAAAGTTCCTAAGTGTGGTCAAATCCATGCAGTATAAGGAGCTGCTCCTTTCCTTTAGGAACCAGGCAATAGTAATGAAGACCAATATGAATGCAGTTGTTATTATCTTCTAAGGAACAGATCTTTACGCAAGGGACAAAGGTGCTTATCACGAGTATTTGTGCAATGTTAACAGGACAAAGCAACGTTAACACGACAAAGCAACACAATTTACAGATTTTTTAATTGTATCTGTAATTCTGATGCAGTTGYTCTGTTACCTTGTCCATTAACAGCACATTTTTAATGGGATGTAAATAGAGCAATGCTGAAGAAAGAAATTAWGACAGCAGTGTTGACTGGTGGTGGTTTGTTAACAAATAATCCTGAAAAAACAAAAACCACCACAAGCRTATGTGTAAAACTATATGAATGTGCCCCGTATTTTCACCTTTGCCATGTATTTTACAGCTAGCAYAAAGTGCCAAAGGTGTGCCAGATTTCTTTGCTTTTTTGTAATAAGTGAAAACACGAACATATGATGAATTTTAAAAGAGATGCAGCAGCTGAAGAAACAGTTTTCAGCCAACTGTTTGTTCTGTACCTCAAAGAAAGATTACCCACAACTGAATGACGTGTAAGGTGCACGTGCAGTTCTCATACCACCCTGATGTGGGATGAACTCTCATGATTTAAGGACTTTAACTGAAGAGCTCTGGTGAATTTTGCTGCAGTGCTTTAAGATGTTTAACACCCTCACTGCATCCTGTTGATGTCCCAGAGATTATGTATCTTTACAACAGACATGCACCTGATCCTCAGCTGCTCCAACACTGAGTGCAGTAATCACTTGGATCACCATGAAGAACAGACTTGAGCTAAGAGGCTTGACTTCCTCTGGAATGGCTAAAACGTGGACATTTGCATCCTGCTGATGAGCACTATTACAGATGCAGGAGCAAACAGATGACTGTGCTACCATTTAAAAGCACTGTGACTAACTCCTAAAAAACTAGATTAAAGGTTGTAACATAGTGATTTCAAAGCACTTACACAGTTTCTAAAAATGGCTCAGTTTTAGGCATAGGCAAGGTGGTGCATAGGCTGTTACACAGGCTGCAATGACTAGCAGGCAATAAAGTGTTAAACAGCTGTCACAAGGGGACTGTGTGGCTCCATCTGAGCCTATGTTTACAACTTATCACCTGAAAAAAGAAAGCGCTTTCTTCATCTACTCTAAGATGAAAAGTCACTGAAACAGGTAAGATGAAAATAGACTAAGTAAAGATCAGGACATGCTTGCCCTGCTTTGGCACTGTACTACTGGTCATTGTTGGAGGCATGCTATAAGAAAATGTCCACGAGACTTTTCATTTGACTATTCTTATAGTTTTTCCACCTTAAGTGCCTTCTAAATAGCATTCCAGATYCTAATTGATAGGCTATTGTGCGTACAATCTGATTTGAGGCATGAAGCCATTATGTCAGGGTCAGGTAAAGTCAAARTAAATTGCTGTGAAAGCAGCAAGGTGATCTGTGTTTCACTGTGACTTGGTTATAAACWCAGGTCACTGCAGCAGCAGCATGACATCCCTTTACAAGATAAGAATTTCTTTTCTTTGTAATCTAGTCAGGAAATAGCAGAAGAGTTAAGTTTCAAATAGTAACAGTAAAGCTTCACCAGAAGCAAGAGCATTTCTAAGTAAGAAGCATTACCAGAGCTGTAAGTGGTAACAGAAGTGGTTTTCAGAATACAAAAAAAAATGTACCACCAGTTCCAGAATCCACCATTCTACCGCTTCACTGTGGAAACTAAAAGCCAGCTGCCCTCAAGTGCAAACCATCCAGTGCTGGTAATTCAGACACTTGAAATATTTTCTAATACTAAATGTCAGTGAATTTGATTCAGCCAGGTAGATGCTTTTGTTTTGCTTCTTTCTACAAAAAGGGCAGTCTTAAAAAGCCATAAAAGGCATGACACATTGTCCAGGTACAGATCACTGTATTAAAAAAGTACAGAACTTCTGCATGCTAGTTACTGGTGTAGAAAGTCAGTATCAAGCAAAGTAAAATTCTATATTTTTTGTGACAAGAAATTAGTTTACTTGACAGCTTTTTAAGATATTCACAGGAAACCCATACAACATTGAAGCATTTTGGCAGCATGCCACCAGCTGACAGGTGCTATGCTGTTTTTCTTTCCCTTCCTGCTCTCTGAAGGAGCACTATTTTATTAATGCTTTYATCTATCCCTAGAAATCAAAAGGAGAGGAACGTGACAGGATTCAGTGACTACATTCTAGCATTTGCACAAGTGGTGTAGTCAAAGATAACCATGGAAACCTCAGCCCTCTCAGATGCACCAGACAGTGCCTTCAAATGTCACCTTGGGAGTTCTACACTTTCACCTCCATGAATTGTTTTATTGCAAAATGGATTATTTGGCATCCTGACCTTGGTTTTTCCTTTGGGTACATAATAAATCCCAGACGCTCGTAGAAGAAAATAACGCCTCTTCCAGGACTTTTTTCCATCTTCTTTTAAATAAAGGGCCCCTTCAAGCTCTGGCACAATGACAGATGTCCCACAGAAGCTTTCCTGTGCAACAAGAATAATAACAGACAAAATAAATCCATTTAAGCACAATCCTATAAATAAATTGCAGAAAAACACTCCCTTGAAAAATAAAGACATTTCCTGTGACAGTGAACATATGGACATGGGGAATGCAGTTACCAGGTAGATGAACACCTCAGACAGGCAAAGGAAACTTTTCCAAGCTGATGTTGGGTGCTCACACTGATAAAGAAAGCTTGCAAACCCTCCATCCATTAGGGTCAAGCAAAAACCTGCAAAGGCTTTTAACTAGACATAGATGTGCTCAGTGAAGGCTACAGAATAACTGTTATTGGGTTCATTTCTCTACTGCAGTGTTTATGGATTCTGTATAGAGAAATACTTCAGTACACAGATTCTTTAGAGACTGCTTGGAGCTCTAAAAACAGCTCAGTCTCTGCTTTCACTTTGAAATACATGCCAGCATTGAAAACACTATTTAATCAGATATACTAATTGTTTGCTTGGAGGGCCTACTGTTAGGTCATTTTTAATGCCAACACACTTTCATTCAATGTTTTAATTCAGAATTCACCAGGACTTCTGCTGGTTAACATGTGGTGTCTTCATGAGATGCAGTAATTTTGAAATGTGAGTCCTCAGTCACCTGAGAAAAGCATTTCCTTTGTGAACTTTTTCCTAACTGCTTGCCTGGAGAACTGTGSTAATCTTTTCTTTCAAACAGCTCCAGACTTTTCTCTCTCAAACATACATCTGAAGTAAAACTTGAGCAGGAAAGGCAAGAGATTAAACAGACTTTCTGGAAAAGTGAACTTTTTTTCTTCCTGTTGTAGTACAGCTAATAATTTGAGAAGTACATCTACTTCTAACCTAAAGATAACTGTTTGCTACTGATGAACCTTACAAATAATAAAAAGTCCCAAGGGCTGTCCTAAGAATCCAAAATATGTGTTTTTAATGAGGAGCAGCAGATGCAGAGGAAAATTCTACATATTAAACCTGAGATACAAAGACACCAATGATCACAGAACTTCCTGTGGTTACATGATTTCCCCCAAAGAACGAAATGCTGTTATTGCAGGGCAGATGCAAATGGGGCAGAGTTCTGGTGACATTTGCATCATCAGCCTAATAAGTTGTCTTACCTCCAGCAAAGCCTCTTTGTTTTTATCATTCATTTCTTTGCTTTCACTCTTCCCTCTGTTTGCCAGGTAGAAATTCTGATGAAGACACAAAAGCAATTTCTGTTCATTATAAAGCCAGCAATACAAGTAACTAGATTGCTACAAACTCATTCAATAGTTACTGAGTCTTTTTGATAYTGAGTACCCAAATCAGCAGGTGCAAGAGACAGATGCTTATGGACTCTTCTTACAGGGAACTTTAGTCACACTGGCCTGCTCATTAATTTGATTTTAACTATAATTCAAAGGTAATACAAAATTATTTTTGCCCATGTAATATATACAGCCTCCCACAATTAAAAACAGTGGCTTATGTTTTTGGCTGTTTTTCTGGATCAATGGGTTTGGGTTTTAGCATTCCAATTTTCACTGTTTCCTGTATTATTACAGGTTGTAGGGAACCTAACATTTGATTGCATGCTGATAAACAATGCATACAGTGCAGAATCACAAGATGCTAGGAAGCATTTTCCCTACAATCCAATTTGGCAATTTGCATGCTTTGTATCTTGCACCTGAATATACCTAGCTGTTAATTTTTAGTTAAAGTGAGTTTATGCCAAAGCCTTTACCCAAACTTACTACTTTCAAGTTTTGTACCCTGCTCATGCTCTTAAAAATATTTTTATGCAGTGAAGAAACTGTTCAAAAATCTAGAAGAAATCCAAGGAAGCGATCACCAAGATATCTTGGCAAAACGTGCTCCAGCCCACCAAAAGAGAGCCTGCACTCCTTTCTCTGTGCCAGAGGGCTGTGAAGCTGCAGCTGCCTTCAGAGGACCAGTGCCTGCCTGCCGCACAAATGAGGAACCACAGTGCTTCAAGGATACATGCACCCATAAAAACAAATTCACTCACTGTTAAAAATAACAAGTCTCCATCCATCTACATTGTATAGATGGACAAAAGGGCAGAACTTGCATATATATGCAAATTCTGACAAGTGGGAAGGATGTTAGGAGTTGTGTGCTGGAGCATTTGCAGTGGCTGTGCTCCMCAGCAAGCAGGGCCAGACAAGCAGAGATGGATGCCTGCAGACTGTAAGGCAGCTGGGTGTGAAGGAAGCAGGGAGATCAAGGATGCCATGCCTCAAGTAGCATTTGGATCCACGGCCTTGAGGCCAAAATGGGAAAACTCAAGAGTTCTTGTGGTTTATAATATTTCAGTTTATCTGACTTTTTATCTCTCTGCCTTTTCATATCTCAAGACTATGAGGAAGTGACAACATATTTACATGCCTGGAACTCCACAACACCTAAACCGCAAYATAAATACAAACATTACCAAAATACAAGTGAGAAGTGTGTAAATGAAGGAGCACACTAATGCCATAGTATAAGGAAGAAACGAACAAGCAGCAAATCTGCCCTGCCAGCTGACCACATTTACAGCAGTGAAATTTACTGAAGTGAAACCCTGCTCTTCCACACACCACATCTTCTTTTCCAAGCAGTGCTGTGAACAGCTGTCTGCCACAATGCAAGCCTCAGAGCAGACTGTTTTTGGAGGAGCACCAGGAGAGGAAGCAGAAGAGGTCTGGATCTCAAAACCAGTTCTTTAAAACTGCTTGCTTGAAAGTTCCCATTAAGTCAGACAGGGGATCTCAGAAACAGACACCTGCAACTTGGCYTATGCTGATACCGTGTCTATGGTGTGAGAAACTTTAACATTCAATATAACAGACTGTTACCCTAAGAAATGGAGCTGGCTTCAGACTGCCTGGACAATTTTTAGTCCACAGCTGAAGGTAAGCAAACACTAAGGATCACAGCTTTGCAACTACATCCAAAAACAGTATTGAGAGCGGAAAGAAACCCAAACCAGCTCAAAACAAAACCCACTTAGAAGTGTGTTCTCAGTACAACCCAGAGAGCGGTGCTTGCCAGTGCAGTCCAGAACCATCGGTCTGACTTGAGTGACAACGCTGCCCTCAGCCTCTGAAAAATGACACTGTCCTGAGCAGCTGCAGCCCAGGGCTCTGGGGACATCCAACAGCTCTTCTTGACAGGGACACTGTCACAGCCCTGAAAGCTCAGATGGCACTGTTAGGCTGGGTTGGRCCTCCAGATTTGGGATGGATTTGGAAAGTAGAGACACATGAAAGCTGTAAGGCCTCTTCCCTAGATCATTATAAAGACACAGTAAAACCCCTAAAATACACAATGAACATTTATCAAGGTAAGTACACCTTAACACTGTCTCAACAAGGCTTGCCTCATCAGCTTTACTACTGGGGAGAGCATCCATCTGACTSAGTCAGCCTTCTGTACATTGATAAAAAAACAAAGCTCCTCTGATCACAACTGATTCACATTCAGGCATCTGGCATTTATTTGACAGAAGCCCAGACCACCCTGTACTGACATAATCAGTCATAAAGAGAGAAAATTTGTAATTATGTCCATGCTGGATCTCTAACACCACAGCCTTTTCACAAGGGAAACAGGGCTCTATCACCTAACCTGAAGTTACACAGWTGTACACTATCATCTTTCACCTGTCAACACACACTTCATTTAATACTGATTATCTCCTTTAAGTCTCTGTTCTGAAATCTGGAAGTACATGGTATTTATATTTGTCAGTGACCAAAAACCTGGGGAGCAGACTCTGCGCTGTACTTGTTTTATCACTGTGTGGTCTTCTATTTTTGATCAGAAGCATTCATCCTAGAGGAGGCAAACCACATGTGTCCAGAAGAGGTCATTTCAAGTCCAGTAGTCAAAGGTCATGATAAAAGGCAAGTTCCTTCCTGTGTGAGGACACCCCTGGGAAATGCATGSTTGGTTTGGGATGTCAGATCATCATGGTTCAAGATGTAGCTGGGGCGCAGCTTTCTACATATATCTAAAGACTTGAGAATTAACTATTTTTTACATTCAAAAGTTAAGTCTATGCATACAAACTTTCCACTTAGGGATGCTGCCATCTCCTTTTGTGTGGAAAGGCAGATAAAAAGTCAGACAGTATCTCTCTACACTGTGTAACCCTCAAACAGTGGGAGACAGAGTGTTTTCAGTAGTTTCCAAGAACRTGTAAGTCAGCATGTAAGCAAAGCAAACTTGGACCATGGTAGAAACACTGCTTTAACTACTGCACTATCAAACTCTCTGGYTGGTGTTTATGTCTCTGCACTCATAAAGAGGAATTTCCTAAATTAAACAGCAYCTTTCTCACACCTTTCACTTTTGTTCATACACAGCCTCATCCAAGTGGGAATGCAGCAGCAACTACTTGCTAGTACCTAGTAAAAAACAGGTGCTCCAAGACAGCACTCTCCCACTGCTTCCCCTTACACTTAGGTTGTATTTCTGCTTTCAAGCTCTGGAAACTGATTTTCCAGAAGTTCTGCAAGGATCCACAACAGCACAGAACAGACAGTGTGCACAAAACAAGGCAGCTGCTTCATACTCATGACTACCTTCTTTGAGCAATGGGCTGCCTGTTTATGCTCATCCAACTCACACCCAATATGAAGAGAGAACTGGCCAGCTCCACTTCAGAACACTGYAACTGCTACTCAGTGCAGTACGGTTTATGCAGAAAAAAAAAACCCGTCTGCAACTCATATCATGGTGTGTCCCCTAGAAAGCTGCACATTAAAAATATTAGAAGATACTTATAACGGCTCTGAAGACCACAAATGTAAAAAAAAAAAAAATACATGAAGCCAAAGGCAATGTGCTTTTGAAACCGCCAAAAAGAGAGAGGAATTAAGATAAACAATAGGAGTAGAGCAAAAAACACTTCTCTTTTCTCAYTTCTATTTCTTTGCACTTTGCCAGCACACTCAATAAGCAGGTTCCCCACCACTCTTTTATGTTTTCATCACTGAGTAACTGTGAAGACAACAGAAAAACCTTCATTCATAAATGTGGCCAAGCTGGTGAAAAACAGAAGTATCACCTGGTGGATAGCAGATRAATATTCAAGCATGAAACTTGCTATAGCTGTCTTGTTACGAAAGACAAATTCTATTCCACCACTCTTCTGACACTGTTCAGAACTCTGCCTTTTCTAAAGAAACAAAATATCAATTCATTGTATGGGTTCTSCTTTGGAAGGTGTAGCTCTGACTTTTAGCTTACACATGAGGGAACAGAAGCATAAAGTCACTGTACAGACTTTCAATAATTTTCATAAATGCTGTCCAATAATAATAAAACCAACTAACAAACAAATGTACATTCAAGTGGCATTGCCTGCACTGTTTGATTTTATCAAAAGAAAAATACAGGAAATCGAAGTTCATGCAAACAAAAGCAAAATACAGTGTTTTAAGAGCATGACCAGCATTTACAGTCAGGAGTCCAGATTCAGCTAGCTACACCCTCAAAATAACAATTTTCCCTCATTAATATCTTTTAGCTGAGAATTATTCTCTGAGCTTTTTGAAAAGAGGTGTTGAGACCTGACAACCTTTCCTTTCAAGAGAAAATCAGCATCACTCAACCATGTGACAAAGCATCACCTTTCCCATATTATAAAGGTTTTCTTTATTTGCCCATGTATCAGTATGTATTTTTGTTCCACTCTTTAGTCACAGACTTGTGATGCTCYCTCTCTGTAGATGAGTCACTGATGCCATTCCTGGAACAGTCTTTTATTTCAAGTTCCCTGCAAGGTCYATGTTATCATGGTGAGCAGAGGGCAAAAGTGTGCCTGTCTTTGTGGTGAGGGGGATACCTGAGAATTTTGCAGAAGTTTTTTCAGAAATCTAAATTCCAAACATGTTTAAAAAAATATTTCAGAAACAAARCTGCAGAAAAATACTAGCAAATACAGCATGACAAGAATGACAATCTTCCAAGAAAAGCCACTGGCATTAGCTGAAAAGTATATTGCAAACACATAGAGAATAAATCCTGCATTTCAGAACCCGAATTTCCCCTTAAAAATGAACCCCATTAAATTGATTGTTGTTTAATCTATACCAGGTCTATAACTAGTTCACAGAAAGAAACAATAAACATTGGCACAGGTTACAGACCTTCTCCACAGGTCTATTTGTCTTAGGAAGACATCTGCCCATCTTTACAAGATTTTTTTAAAGCATTTAATTGTCTCAATTCTCTGTAAGGAAAATTCTGTATCACTGATTTGTCAAAGAACAAATGTAGGCACCTGGCCACCTTTAGAATTTGCCTCTTTTTTCCCCCAGAAAAGTATCTGCAAATTAAAAAACTGTGAGATCTCAACAAAACATTTCCAACAGAATGAGCACAAAAAAAAAAAAAAAGCCAACAGGCAATTCAACTGCTGCTGCATTAGCACATTGGGTGTGTCAAAAAAAAACCAAAACATTCTGCAATTTCTGTACTCCCAAAATGAGTTTTTTGTGGCAGCCTTGATTGAGTTAGAAGGAGGTTGAATATACTGAGGCTACAGTCTCAGAGCACAAAATTTCAGTTTCCCMTTGGTTACACCCTAATTTCCATAAGCAGTTAGCTAGGTAATCATACTCCCTACCCACAAAWACCCAGCATTTTCACTTAGTTTATCTTTCCAAGGACTCTCTGCAGATCACGTATTTTACCATGTTYCATTATCTAGTGTGAGCTCTGTAAAATACTGATCACCTTCTGTCACTAAGTGCTGATATGCCTGTACTATTCTACCTGCTCACAATGTTAGAGTTTACCAAGCCTGACAGATGGCTGGACTTTATTAATGGCAAAATATTTCAATAGTGTGATAGTCATAACTGATCCAGGTTCCTTAGACTGTTGATTTTAGGGCTTATCACAGAGGGGCTAAAGCTCAATGACTGCAGATGTGTCCAGCTCCAGCTGAGACATGAGGACAGAGCTACAATTTTGTTCTAGTTTTGGCTTAGGTCGCATTTATTTCTAAATTTCACTGCAACTAAAATGAGCAGAATATTCATCAGCGTTTTCCTTCCTGTGTGAGGTTCAGAGCCTTGCCCTAAGCCACTTCCTCAAATAATACTATTGTGTATKAAGCAAATGTGCAATCAATCAAATCAAACCTATGCTGCTGGGTAGGTTTATGTGCACTAGAAAGGATGACACTTTGAGCCACCACACTTTATTTCCAAATTTGACTTTGCAGTCTCATATTAAAAATCAACATTAATCCATGTGTACTGCAGTGTAAGTTTTCCTTCCATGACTGTGGATACTTATGCCAATGAAGAAAACTYMTTTTCTGCAGGTTTTATTTGAAACATTGGCTCATTCTATAAAAAAAACCAACTTCCTAATGAGCAGTTTKGTGTGATTTGCTGCCAAATTACATATTTGACTCATTTTTTCAGCAATGCTGAATTGTTCATTTTTCTCTTGCAGCCCTTAGGAACAAAGCAGATGCTCAGTGAGCTGGGAGTCAGCTGACATGAGGGAAAGATCTTGTGCCCCAGAATCCAGCAACTGTATGTTCTAGGATGTTYGCACATACAGGTTTGACCACCCAGCACAAGAAATAAAACAATTTGTGTTTATATACCAATCCTGAATAATTGGATGCAATTCAGTGTGCAGACTCTCCTTTAAAAAGCTAACGTACACAAGTTACTGTTCACCCAATTCTTCAGTATAAAAGAAGTCCACTAAATCCTTTTAGTACTTGGTAYACCCTTTATGAAGTTTTATGTACAACTGGCAGAAACTGAACCCTCAAGGAAATTTTGATATGCACCAGCAGAAATAGAGGAGAAGCTGTAGCAGTAACAGAGATCAGGTTTTTACAGCTGTGCCACCTCACCCAGTTCTAAGAGCTGTGCCTAAGCAATAGCTTCTATTAGAAGTGATCTACATGTCTCATTACTTACCTCTACAGCAGGGCTTTAAAATAGCATCAGAAAAAAAATAGAAAACGCTAACTTCCAAATCCTTGCATTCAACATCCTGGTGGTTTTTGGTTGAAAATATAAGTTTTGCTTTCTCTAATTCTGAACTGACAGAGCTGAAAGCAAATTATTAATGCAATAGGCAGCATGCAGAATAAATTACCTTAGGRTCTTGTTCAAATACCATGTTAACCTACCTGGGGATTTTTAAATAAAGCATATTTTTGACTTTTTTCCAAAAACAGAATCTTATTCTCAGTGTCTCGAGTCCAGTCTGATAACACTTCAACAACATTTTCATGGTCTTCAAAAAACCTTTCTGGATAGACAGAGAAGATAATGTAAGACATTCAAACAGTTTCACCCCCCTCTCAAGGCTGCAGAAATTCCTGTATATGAACGTAATCACTATTTGATGTTCACTCAGGGCTGGTCAGTCCAGCACTCTTTTCCCCTCAGGAGGGTCTTTTTAAGAATTATTATTACCAAAACAAAAGTCAAATCTGGATGCCTACTATAAGACAATAGTCTATCGCAAAATACATACTGGCATGTACAGCCCAGTGTTACATCACCATCTCAATACTGAGACTATTTGTGATATTTTAACATATAATTACTTTAAAACTGTAGTTTATTTTATTTGCAATGATAGTATTCCAAAAATACAGTACATGTAAGATACCCTGCCAAGGATCTTGTGATATAAAACTAGCTCGGACTTAGTTCAGCATTAAATRTTTGCTGCTCAGATTTGCTTCTTAAAATAAATATTGTTTTATTCTCTTGAATACTAATGTGGAAAGCAAGCAGAAAGATGAAGTGCAGAAAAGTTCTGTCTTCATGCTGTTAGCAATAAAGCTATCTAGAACAGCCAAGAAGTATAGTGATGGGAATAAAGAATAGTTCAGATTGTCTTGATTTTGAAGAAAATTAACTACATGTTGCTGTGCATTGGAAGCAGAAGAAACCATTCCACTCATATTGAAATTGCCTTCTGCAAACAAAAAGGCTCCATTCCCAGAAGATTTGGACCTTGTAATAGATCACTGCATCAGGAGTTCATWGCTTTTTGCCTTTTTCCTGAACCAGATACAGGTTTATTTCCTTTGGTACTTATCTTCTGTCCTGGCCTTTAAAATAGCTTTTATTCATTATGAGAGTAATTCCTTACTATACCAATAWCCTAACACCAAACCAAAAGCATCTAGCATTAACTAAGGCTAAAGTAACACAAGGAATTTTTTCATAAAAATTCTAACCATTAAGCTCAATATTTGTAGCATAYGATCTCCATGATACCTTCAGTTTTAATTGCATGATGGGAAATTCAAAAATCTATCCACATTATGAAGAAACATAGCTATGTTTTTTTTAATGACTATGGAGATTCAGAAAACAATCTGTTTATGTGCTGTCATCCTAATATGCAGACACGTTTGTCCAAGSACACTGGACAAAAGGGAGAAAGTTTCTAAGGCAGGAAAACTCTAAAATTMTTCTGTGACTTCTGTGAGATTTCTAGGGTCACATGGCATTTCCAGTCCTTCCTCAGTTAAGATAAGCAGGTATAAAATAATGCAGCATCATTATTTTAATCAAGTAGCAAGAACAGATTGGCAGTAAATTTCTGTGCCACTCTTATAAGCAGATGAGGATCTCCTCGCTTTTTTTCAATAATTTTAAAATTTCTTTAGTTTACTTTAGCAGAATGATTACACCTGGGGCTCTTTTAAAGTGCAATATTGATATTTGACTTATTTGTGCGTTTTCACATCTCTCTTGGGAGGCCGTAAACCAAGAATTTTAAAGGCTGTTTGACAATTTCCCATTTCTCCAATTCAAATGCAACTCTGAAAGGAAGTTGTGGCAATTTTCCTTTTCATGTCAATACCTTTTAAGTCTGGAAAACAAACAGATTCTGAAATAATTCACAATTATAGAATACTCTGTTCTTAATGAAACCTTGAAGCCTTTTTCAAAAGGGGCTCATTATGTTGCACAAAACAATTCATAAGTTTTGCATGACTGTTTCCTAGGACCAGGAGGCCAGGTTCATTACTTCATAAATTATAACTTATCATCAGCAGAGCTGCAGCCCCATCACAGAGCAGCATCCTGTACACAGCTACACTTCAGAAAACAATTGTCACAAATGAAAAGCATTAGAAATGACTGAAACACTTCACACACAGTCTTGTTTTATAACATTTGTTCGGCCAGTATGCAATAATTCACATGGCCCCTTCATTTTGTATAAAATAATGGAAATGGTGACAAGCAAGGAGCCTTTTGCAGGTCACAGCACAGCTGAATGGACTCASTTCTACAGCAAGAACAGACCGAATATATTCTTGCAGCATCCCTCAGCTAAAGAGTCTGTGATGTTCCAACACCAGGGGACACATGGGCAGGAGAGACATTATTATCTTTTCAACATTACCARCACTTCCCTGATCCTTCAAGATTACCAGCACTGTATCTATCTGCTGTGTGCTATGTCACTACACCACTTACCAATCTGCAGCTCTGGGTACATCTCATACAGACACCAGTCGACATTGCAGTCACAGTGGGTTTTCTCAAAGAGATTGTCCAAAACATCCCGTGCCACCTGACGCTCATCCACCATTAGAGACTTTGAGCTGTTATCGTACATGTGCACCTTGATAACAAGCTGAGAACAAAGTCACAGAAGAGTCAGCTCATTTCAGAAGCAAGAAAAAGACTAGTCTGAATCTGCTAACACAGATAAGAAAGATTAAGGCTGAAGGTTATTACTCATTCAAAGGCATCCTGTCTTACAGAAAGCTGAGAGAATAAAACAGCTCAGAAGTTTTTCTCTAAAAAGAAAATTGAACCTTGTCCTATGCATGACTTCAGGAAAGGTGAAGTTGCTATGGAGAAAAAGCAGAAGTTAATCTCTTCTCTAAATCTACTACATGTGCAATTAAGAAAAATGCTTGATAGGAAACCCAAGTACAAAAGGACAGAGCATCCATAATGCGAGCTACAAATGTGAAAAATTTCATTTTTAATGAGAAAAAGAATGGAGGAATCTTRCCATGCCAAGAGAATAACCTGAAATTGGATTGTACTAAGATGGGCCATGGTCCAACAGCCATCAATAAGAAAACAGATGAGTTCACAGAATCACAGAATCAGAATATGCTGAGTTGGAAGGGACCAATCAGGATCATTGAGTCCAGCTCCTGGCCCTGCACAGGACAGCCCCAAGAGTCACACCATGTGTCCAAGAGTATTGTCCCAATGTTTCTGGAGCTCTGTCAGGCTGGTGCTGCGACCACTTCCCTGAGGGGCCTGCTCCAGGCCATTCCTGTGGGTTCTGTCACTAGACACCATAAAGAAGAGGTCAGTGACTGCCCCTCCTCTTCCTCTCATGAGTTACTTATATTGACCCAATTAACCTAAGACAGTCATTACCTCTTTATATCATGAAGTATTTGTTAAACAAGAATGACCGTGAACTTTCTTCAGAGAGGAACAATGCAAGAAAATGCTGAAGTACATAAAATGTGATAAAGAACTGGAAATACATTGTAAGAAAATACTTAAAATGTTCCATTAATACTGAAAACTATAGAATAATTCTCTACAAGGTCTGTACATTGCTGGTGAGTTGGGAGAACTTTTCCATATAGTCTTGTTTAAATAGCTCTTTATTTTTAAATGTGTGTATAAGAAGCTTTGTTCTGTAGAGACAACCTCTGTAAAAGGTCAGGTAGAAGCAGAGTGATGATCCCCGAGAGAAAATCTACACTATCTCTGAAATGCAAAAACAAATGTAACAAAAACCATGAACTTGTTTTGATTCCAATCCTTGTAAGAAGAATCTTCTGTAAAAATAAGCAAGCCAAGACACAGTGCAGATTATAGAGAAAAAGAAATGCTGTGCATGCATAATCTAACACATCTAAGGCAAAAGGGCTTTTTTGTCTGGTTCTAAATGACYGCTCAGAAACTTGTACGCAGCTTCCATCTTCACAGAATCATGGAACAGTTGAGATTAGAAGGCATCTCTGCAGGTCATCCAGCCCAGTCACCTGGTCAAGCGGGGACACCTAGAGCCTGTTGGCCAGGACCCCATCCACATAGTATCTCCAGGGAGGGACACTCCCCAACCTCCCTGGGAAACGACTGTGCTCAGCCACCCTCACAGTGAAGAAGTGTTTCCTGATGTTCAGAGCCCCCTGTGTCTCAGTTTGTGCCCATTGCCTCTGGTCCCATCACCGGGCAGCACTGAAGAGAGCCTGGATCCATTCTCTTTGCACCTTCTCTTGAGGTATTCCTAGAGACAGACAAGCACCCTGACAGAGCCTTCTCTTCACTAGGCTACCTCAGCCTTTCCTCACAGGAGAGATACTCCTGACCATCTTCATGGTACTTCCTGATCATCTTCCATTGGGACAAAACTCTATTGATTTTGAAGACAGTGATCTTTAAATATTAACCAGCTTTTTTGGTCCCTTCTTCCCACCAGGGTCTTAACACATGGGACCCTTCCAAGAAGATGTTTGAAGAACCAAAGTCTGCTCTCATGAAGTCCATGGCTATTAACTTGCTTTTTACCATCTCCCTGCCCTTTGCCCGCAGCTTTTGGTAAAAGAGAGAAATCCAGTTTTCTTGACAATAATTTAGTCAATCTAGAATTCAAGAATGACACAGTAATTTCATTATAGCGGCACAGCCATAAGACTGAGCCTTACTTCTACCATATGGTTACAAATATTCCAGCTGGGGAAAAATGTGGGGGGAAAAAAAGGYTCCCAAAGGAGAATTGCTAATATTACAAGAAAAGAGTGTGACCAATAAACAGTCATAATTTTAATTACAGAGCTTCACGAAGTCCACGTTGGTGAAATCCTCCCACTATACATTCACTCAGGAGTAGCATTTGTACATGAACACAAAGTGTTCTGTGGGAATCATATCAAGTCTGGACACCCTCAAATTTATTGGAAACTTCAGTTCTTCCTGGAAGCCCTGCAGGCTTTTATCTCCAGCATTTCCTATCTCCTTTGAGCAATACTGAGAGGTCAAGACTGTTTTTAGTTCACATCCATTATTCAGAGTTACTGAACACCGGCAGCTTCTGTTGAGTTCAGCTGGAACTCTAGCTTAGGATGAGTGGGCATAATTACATGGCACACTGCAGCACAGTGCAGACACTGGCTGGAAGCTTTCTAATTTGTTGGTTTAAAATAATTTTGATTATCCTTGTACATTACTACACTGCTGTGAAAAGATTTAGCAAGGAGACCCCAATTAATTTAATAGGGATTAGCTAAATCCACATCCACTGTAAACAAAAATTTGAATACTCCTGGAATTGGCATAAGTAATACTTTGCTTCCTCTAAAGCAACTTACCAGAACAGTGCATTTTGCCCGAACACTGAGAAAAAGAAAAGAACCCAGTGCTTTTCAAGTCYTCTTAAAAAATAAGTCCCTCGGAGGTAGCATTCTCCCAGACACTTCTCTTGAGCTGGATGACAAGAGAGCTCCCTAGAATATCTTTACAGATAAAATGTGGAAAAGCCTAGGCATTTTAGTAAGAACTTCATTATTAACAAGAATGTTAACAGATACTTAGGTGGTAGCTCTTATGGTAGCATTTACCATTTTAAGRCTCACCTTTTTAACTTTGGCTTCTTTCAGTTTCTCCAATGCAAGTTTAATCTTGTCAGCTTTAGCCTTTGCCTCTAGTTCTTCCTGAAAAGACACAAGATATTTAGTATATTTCTTGTTAAGTAATGCCAGCAATTTACATTTACTTGAAAAGTGTTGTTTCTTGACATTTGTATCCTGAAGATAAGGCTTGTCATGGCAAACATCATATATGCAGATAATCCCCAGCTTTCCTCGATCTAACATCCTTCAGCCAAAGCACTGATTTACAAGTCCAGTGCTTCCTTTTGTTGCTCAGTCATACAGTTCTTATATGATCTGTTTCTCAAATGCTACAGGGATGCCTGAAAACTGGATCCTTCTGCATCTCTGTATGTACAACTGATGCAAAACAGAAGGTGAAGGAAGATCTAGCCTAAGTGAAATAGCATTGTGGATGCAACTGCTCGGAACAAAATTCACTTCTCAATAGGGTTAACAGAACTATAATTTGTAGGATTTTACCAAAGATTTGGCTTGCAATTACACTACTTATAATTTTATACATTGTGTTTAGTACATTTATTTACTTGAATTCTTTCACTTGCCACATATGATCTCTTGCTGCATAGGTAGTTACCAAGGGGAACACCTCCATTAATTGGATGATATAATGGCTTTTTATTCTACTAATGGACCTATTCATATTAACACAGTTAGAGCACACAAGTTCATTCCAGTTTTTGCTGAATGCCACAGTAAGAATCCCAAAAATCTCAGTTTCACCCAGCTTTCCTTTCACAAAGAAGCTCTATCAGTTCTTACTATCAATGAGGTTTGTGTCCAAGCCCCGGATCCCCAGGTGGTGAGAATTTTAGGTACATGTACCAAATGCCAGTACCTACTGCTGCCTCTGTGACTGCTGTATAGATTGGGCTGTTCCTTTATGCCACCTCTTTTCCAGAATACATATGGAGTTGGAAAAGCACATTTTGGACGCGAGTTTGGTTCCTGGGGCTGTCTTAGACTCTTAGTACTACTGGAGGGTTTGGTTTCTTTCCAACTTCACATTCCTGTTGCCTTGACTGAAAACTGTCTTATCTTTCTTGCCTCTTTGTTGGTTTTTGCTGTCCCTGTTGCTCTCTTACTTAGACAGTTTTCTTTGTTTTAAAGGGGTAGGATTTTGCATTACGCTACTCAGAGGTACCCAATTTCTAGTCAAGGACCATGGGATAAAGTTCCTATCCTGCTTCCACAGAAGATTTTCCTCTGTTACCTTCGGCCTCAATTTGCTACCCCAAAGTCATAATTTTCATTGTTCTCACATCAAGAGAACCGGCTGCAACTCGTGGAAGATGCACTTACAAGAAAGTAGGCCTAACTAAGCACTGCCATCACTTCCCTGTTACAGAGATATTACACAATTATAGCAAAGAAGATTATCTTATTCATCCCAAGTTTTGAGGCACTTTCAACAGTAGCTGAAGTACTCCTGACTGACGTCCCTCCTGCTGAACTAAACATCTTTTGTTTTATCAGTGCTTCAAGCATGTTTCCTGTTATCAAATTCTCCACTATAAATACCATGCAATCAGTTAAAAATATCTCTTTTTTTTCCTCTGCAGGTGTGGAAATTTGCATTGCTACAGCTCAGCAGTACTTAACTTAGAGAATCCAAAAAAAGCCTCTGTAGTTAAACAGAAGCTGTGGCACAAAGGTGGCTTTCACAGTGAGGCTGACTGTTGTACAGAGGAAAAGCACACAGCCTCTCACGCTGTAGCCCTGCCCTCGCCACCCCTCTGTAGCAGGCAGGAAAAGCTTCCTAACCAAAGCGGCTGAGTGTGGTGTGGGCAGGCTTTCTGATGAAAATTCTAGGCAGATATATAAAATTACAATTCACGTTTCACCTGCATGTGACCCGCATTGAACAGACTTCACACATRGTAAAAATCTGTGCCAACACAGCTCTCACCTGACAGCCTTCATGGTTTCATATGCTTTGTCTGACTTAATGTGGAAAAAGGAAACAAGCTATCAGATGCAAAATTTTAGCGGGTTAGAGAAATACTTTGACAAGCTACAAAGTTTGTTTTCCTGCTAACAGTATCATCACCAAGTTTTCTGGATCTTTAAACAGAAGCACACAAAGTCATCATGTCAACAGCAGAAGTGAAAGCCTTATTTAGCTTAAGGGCTTTTCTTTTAAAAAGAAATGTCAGAGTTGACGGAAACTTATGAGATAGCTCCGTGCTTCCCTAAAAGACAGGCTGTATTTTTTTATTTTGGCACACCTCTAAAGGTTAGAAAATAGTGTTTTAATATCACAGTTGCATTGGGAATGACTAACACCGTTCTTATTTGACTGTGATAACCAGAAGTGTTAAACACAACTTCAGCTTTGATTGGCTCAAGAATCACTTATCAAGAATCCTGGCTAACAGGAATATGGAATTTGATGAAACAAAATAACACTCCACTTACAGCTGAATTTTATTCTACTGAGAAGAAATGTCACATCAAAACAAATACTAATCAAAACAATGAATATTAATTTGAAATAAATTCTTTCCATATTAATTTTAAATGGTTATTGCCTCCATCATTCACACTGCAACCTGTGTAATAGCCCTGTAGGCAGTTTTGTGGACAGCAAGCCACAGTGGGTATGTGGCCATTAGTATATGAATACAACCTGTATCATAAAATGAGGCAAAGCCTGCAGGAAAAAGCAGAATCAATGCCTTAATGAAGAAATCAACTATTGTAGATATATTTCTCAGAAATGCTTCTATGACCTGTTCCCATTCTTCTCTGACACTGTATCTGGAAAGGGATCGGGCAATATCATTAGACATCAGTCTCAGAAGAACACTTTAATGGAGGGAGAAGTGTCTTTTAGTTACATTTTTTCAAACTGAATTTCAGTTGTTTAGCAAGTATATCCTCTTCCCACTCTGAAATCYTGTTTGACCTTCAGGTAATGCAGGATGCCAGCTAATAAATAATTAYCTCAGTACTACAGTCAAGGGAAAGGAGTGTAGCACTGTTGATTTCAGTGAGTTTTAGATCCCAGCATAACAAAGATCCCCTTTGGAAGAGTGGTCTGAAGGTCCCTAGTCTGGCTCCTGCCCAWAGCAGGTGGTCACTAACATTAGATCAGCTTTTGCCTCGCAGAGTTTGGAAAACCTTCAAAGAAAGGGAATCTGGGATCTCTCTTGGTCACCTGTTCCAGTGCTACACCACCATCTGAAGTGGAAAAAGTTTTCCTAATGTCCTGTCTGAAACTGCAAAGCTACAACCTGCAGCAGTTGCCCCTTCCACAATAGTGACCTAACTCTATCATGGAAGAATATGGCTTCACCAGCTTTGCATCTGCYCTTCAGGTATTTTTAGACTGCCATTGGATCGCTCTGCAGCCTCCTGTGTCAGACCAAACAAGCACAGGTACTTCAGCCTGTTCTTGCTGGTCCCTGATCACCACACACCCCTGGCCATCCCATCAGTTCTCTGCTGGACACTCTCCAATATMTCCACATCTGGAACAGAGTGCAGTATTCCAGGAGTGGGCCCACCAGTGCCAAGACAAAGGAACAATGGCTCCCTTAGACTGCTGGCCACACTCCTCCACAGAGGATGGTTTCCTCTACTGAGATGATCTTGTAATTGTGGTTCTTACCCACTGTGGTATCCAGGAGGATGCCATCTCCTTTTCAGCAGGGCTGCTGCTCAGTCTGTCATCTCCCAATCAGTACAAATGGTTATTACCCCAGGTGCAGAACCTGGTACCTTGCTGGGTTTCTGAGAGTTTTTCTGGCCTAGCCCTCATGTTTTTCAAGTCCCCTTGCATTGAGGGTCTGCCATTGACAGACAGTGTCCCTAATTAAAAGCAACTTCAGCACATCTGCAGGTGGGTCACAGACGAAAATGTTAAACAATATAAACCCCAGWGCTGATCYCACTTGCTACCAGCCAGCAAACCAYTGACAGCCCWTGAGTCTGGCCAGTCTCAGCCCACCTAACCAGCTACCCTTCCAGACTATATTTGTCAGCCTACAAACCAGACTACTTAGAAGCTTGGCACTTCCTTTAAGACCATGARCCTAAATCAAGATGGGGAAATGTTTGTAGGAAATTGATAGAATTCATCTTGATAGCATCCCTTCTTTGTCAATAATACTAGTTAAACAAAAGACTTCAGCTTCTGAAGCTGTATTAGTATTTTGCAAATGTTGATATTCCTTTAAGATAGGAAGTTAACTATTATCTTTGAGATGCAGAGAAATGGCAAAACTTTTTTCACATGTTTATGAGTTTCAGTCCTCAAATAGCACCGAAAGGTCCTATACATAAAATTAAGCTTTATCCAGTGAATCACCTTTTGTGTCGTCAGAAAGGTCCCCTTCCTACCCAGTTTTCTGTTCCTTTTGCTGAATATGCCTGCTGTAAGATGCCAAACATAGGGGCAGCAGCGGTGTTTCATATTCAGTTTGTGTGGACTTTTAAACAGTAATGAATTGACCACAGTTTTAAACTGACAGGTACTTTTCACATTCCCTAAAATATTTCCATTCCCTAAATGTAAACATCTCTCCATCATAGTTACTGTGGACATGAATAATGAAAAGATACATTTGTATACTTCATGATTTCAAATACTTGGTTTTTTTTGGGCTGCATCACTCTTCTAATGCCTTTTCCAGTCCTCACAGGGCTGTGACAAGCCAGAATTCTTACACTATTTACCTCTCTGCAATCTCACATCAGAAACATACTACAAGTATCACATTTTACTTCAGTTGTTAAAACAGCTCTGCAAGAAACACAAAAATGGAGGAGGTTGTCATAATTCTGCAATTTTAGATAAAGGTAAGCCAGTTGTTTATAAAAATACTGATAATTTTGGCAACTCCTAAGAGCATTCATTCCCTATTGCAGATGGTCTTCATTACTTCCTGGCAAGACAAGCAGAGCAGCGATTTWGTGTTAGGTGTAGGAGAGGGACTTCTTGTGCACATCCCTGCACATGGTCGTTTAGCGAATGTTGAGTTTCACACAGCTGAATAGCTTTTCTTATTGCAAGATATCACTTAGGCCAGGGATAGATCTGAGAAGCATCCACACAATTTTCACATCAGTACTTACAGCACAGACTGCAATGAAAACACACAGTGACAACTTCACAAAGTGGAGAGATCTTTGGCCATGATTTGCGTTGATATCAAAGCCAAATTCTCCATAAGCAGACATTAACTGATCAGAATTCTTTTAAAAGAATTCAGCAGTAAATTTTCCGTTACAATAAACCATTTGCAATGACTTATGCCTGTACTGGGCCATCAAAATGATGATTAGAAAGGTGAAAGAATGGGCAAAATATCAAGAAATAAGCAGAAACTGCTGAGGCTACAACAGTAGAAATTTCACTCCAGAATTCATGCACGTATCATCRTTGCAGAACCTTCCCAAGATGCTTCTACTTGGGAGATCCACTGGTGCTCCAGTGCCAAACACCACTCACAAAATGACAAGAACTAGTGAATGCTTAGAACAAGGTTCCAACCAGGCTTACCTGGGTAAGTGGCTCAGAAGGAGGTGGTGGCGGTGGCGGTGGCAGATCTGATTCAAGGTCTGGAGGTGGAGGGGGCAAATCATCCCCCAGCTGTCCAGTAACGGTAACATAGGGACTTGCTTTAGAATAAATGTCATTATTCAAGCCTGTTGAAGGCTGAGTGACTGTACTTTGCTGGTTGCAAGAAATTTTCTGGGCTTGTAAAGTTCTCTGCTCAACATCATTAAGGTCTGCTACAAGATCAGCCATTAAAGCATCCAGGTCTTTGTCCTCTAGGGCATTTAGGGATTCTAGAAAGAAAACCACAAAATGTGTCAATGAGTGCAATGTAAAAGCACAGTTTCCAGTTCAGCACAGATTACATTGCAGAMGGAATGGTCACAAGGTTATGGGAAAGGAAACAATATTTTACATGAGTTCAAGAAACAAATGTGCTTTAGGAACWGCCATTAATCTGGTCAGACTGAAGTTCAGAGTACAAGGAACTCTGTGAATACAAACTAAACAAGACAGGAAGCCTTGGTTCCAGTGATAGTTTCAGGTCCTTATGGTGCTATAAAACATGGCCCTGRTCCAGCAAGGTTACTGGGAACATGCTTAGTGCCATGAATGCCAGAAATTCCATGAGCTCCCATTAGGCTGTAAGTGCATACACAAATGTTTAACAAGTTCTGGCACAGMACACAACAATCCATGTAACTGAGGCCTAGTCAGTAACTATGTCCCTATATTATTCCTATTCTACAATTCTAAAATTGACATGAAGCAGAATCAAAGAATTCTAAGACACAAGAAACTGCATGGTATCACCTGTAMCACATCAGTAATTGATCTGTGACATCCCACATGGATGGTACACACATCACACACAGGCTTTTGAGGATCCTTTAAGCAAGGAATAAACAAGAAAGTCTTTTTTAAAAGCATCTTGTTGAGAAACATATAGAAATATATAGAAACATTATAACTTTTTCYGTTTTCTGCTCTGACAGAGTCTAAGATAAAATCCTGTACTGGAGCTTCATATGTAATTTGTTGTTATTTGAACTAACTGTGGTGTAAGAGACACTGTGGAGTGAAACCCTATAGGATGATTTAGCTTTCTAGTGGAGAAGGGTTCTTTAAGATTGAACAGTCAGTGTTTAAATGTCTTTTAAAAGTCCAGGTAAAAAAATAAATAAATCACAAACTGGGAAAACTTCTAAGTGAGATTTTGTGAGGGATGGAGAGMACTGAATTAGATACTCAAAAAAGCTAATACAGACCAATAAAGAATAGATCATTCATCAGACTAAATATGAACATGTCACTAGACCATCTCCATTTACTCTGCTCTCCCTGATACAGTTATATAGTAATTAATACTTTTTTCTTTACAGTGGGAAAGTTAATTTATGATCCTCTCTGTTAAGATAGCTCTACCCACTTTGCTGGCAGAGTYATTAGGAAGCCCCACAGGGAACTGATCCTGGGATAAAACAAGAGGTTAATATCAACTCAGGCTAATACAAACAACCATCTTCCATTAAAAAAAAACCAAACAACAAAACAAACCCAATYACAAACAAAATCAAAGGGAGGATTCTTTTTTCAAAATCAGATAAATCCCTTCATTTTCCCATACAGCCTCAGCAAGCAGCTGTACATGCAAAAGTGACAGTGGAAACCAAAATGAGAATAAAACACTGAAAAGTGGAAGCAGCTGGAGCTGATACTTCCACTGGACAAAAATGCTTACGCAGTTCTGACAATACACTGAGGAACTTTTTCTTCCATCAAGTTACATCCCTACATTCAAAAGGTTATATTTTATAAAGTTATTTGGGAGACTTCTCATTTTTGTCTTCCACTACATTCAGATATTTAAAAAAGTCTGRCTTCTATTTAAAATGAGTAATGCCCCCAAAAACTGTTTCCTTTAAAGTTTCCTAAATTGAGGCACAAAAAAATATACCTCCCCCTCCAGCAAAACAGCGTTCTTTTGGTTTTTTTTTTATCAAGGGTATGTAAAGATTTTCTTCTCATTTGTTGCTGTGAGGTATTTTAAGTAAGCATAAAAGGCMTGAAAGAGTTCATTCAGCTACTTACCATTTAAATCTTTAAAACCAACTGTAAAGCTAAATTCATTCTTGGACACTTTGGGGGATGGAGGTGGTACAGTCTCCACYCCTAAACTCTGTTAAGGTAGAAGAAAAAAACAGGTACCTGATGATATAATTGCTATTACATACATTAACAGTTTAAAATCAATTATCTGAATTTATCTAATGAAATAATTTCTTCTTCAAGGAACAGAGTGACACACCTGGTTTCTGAGATTATGTTTAGACTGGTAAACTAACTAGGGCCAGGACAAGGGTTCGAGCACCAGTTATGGGGTTTTGCATGCTAAGAATGTCATGTGAAATCTTCTGACYTTCACTCAGTTTAAACACAATTTCTATTCTATGGCTTGGAATTTTTATTTAATTTATCAAGCACTGGGATTCACCACAAAGAAAGACTCCCTCAAAACAGAGACTGTAAGCAAACTGCCACATCCAAGATRACAACTTAAGTGTTTTCAATCATGCATTTATTAAAATACAACAAATTTATTCCCTTTGTAGATTTTTTTCAGAAATAAAAAGTCTCCTTTCATCAGCTATTACAGCAAGTATTTCATGACTAGAGCTTTAGAAAAAYGCTCCTGCTGTTTTATGCTCTCCAGAGTGTATTCTGCATAGGCAATAATATCCCTATGAATTCTTGAACGACAYCCCCATTGCAATTTAGTATTTTGCCATATCTAAAGAATATTTTTAAGCATACATTCATATTATTGCTTTCATTTCCAAAGTTCATATTTGACACTCAGGCTACATCCCATTTACCAATGTATGCTAAGCATTCATACCTAAAAATTCAGACTCAAAYTCTTCCTGTTTTCACAGAATCCTTTAATTTCTTTGGACCAAGTCCAGAGGAATTTAAATTGCTGGGCTGGGGTTTTTCTCAGAAAATGTCTTTCACAAGCATTTAGGTAGGTCTGTTTAACAACCTACCCAGTACTGATACTACCGTATTTTTCAGGACACTTATTTTAACTGTCAAGGAGAGAAATTTAGTCGAAGTTTTACCAAAATAATGTTACTGTATTCAGACTGGAAGTGCACAAAAAATGTAGAGAAGTTCCCTCTTTTCTCTAACATATAATAGCTATTTTACTAATCTGGATGGAAAAAAAAGAATTATTTACCTGAGTCAGCATGTCCATCTCCCCAAGTAAATTGCTGAACATTTCATCTATATCACAGGTTTGSGCCATCTGAAAGAAAAAAATCCACAAGTAAGAAATCATCCAATGCTCATTTCAAAGCCAGCAATGGTTGAAACCAGAAGATACACCATGCTCTTTTATATTGCATTCACAAATAACTTTAAAACAATTGCTCGACTTGCAAAAACCTGAATCCATACCTTAGAAGAAACTAACAGCTCAGAACCTCTATCCTGTATATGCTTAAACACACACTTCAGACCTACACTCATCAGAAGTGCCAATGACCTTCTTGTACTATTTACATTTCATAGCAAGTCACCAGCTAACAAACCAAGCTGATACCTTAAACATAAAAAAAAAGTAGCCAGTGACACAGAGAAGCAAAGTTGCATGATGAGAAATTCAACATTCTTGAATGCTTCATCTTGAAACCCTTCTTTCATTGGCTTAGACAACTAATACTACGGCAGTTTATTAGCGGTTATCTAGTGCAAAACCACGTTATGGTTAGGTACATGACCAACTCTTGGCTCAATATTTCTCCCTTTTTCTTTCAAATACTACTGCAGTGAGAGAGCTCCAGTCTTCCCTAACCTCAAGACATCTGAGGGAGTCACTGAGACATGGATAATGGCTAATGGCTAAYGGATAATGCCACAAGGTAGGCCGATGGCAGTGCTTGTTGCAAGAGTGCAGTATGAGGACAAGATCACACACCGGTGGTGCTGCACTATGGGGGAGAGACACAGTTTCCATAATAATCCTCTTCCTCATAAATCTGCTCCTTTGCAGACAAAGAAGCAGTGCAAGAGGGTGTCTGCCATGGAACACTACCAGAGACAAAAAGCAGGAACATCATCTTTTTAAGAGGCTCAAGCCTGCAAGGGATTGAGAACTGTGGTATTGAGCACATAAAACCAGGGTTCAAACTAGGGCCAAACTTTACACACATAAGTAGTCCTATCCGTTTGTGTGCAGCTGTATTGGATTTTTATGACAAGGTATGGGGGGGACGCTACAGAGGTGACTTGTGTGGGAAGGAAGCTCTCCCCATGTCAGAGATGGACAGTAGCTTAAGCTGGCTCCAAGATGGACTTGGGGCTGGCCAAAGCTGAGTCCATGAGCAGTGCTGGTGGCACCTCAGACAGCACACTAAGGAAAGGGTAAACAATGCAGCTGTAAAAGGGCAGTGGGAAAATATAAGTGAAATAAACCTGCAGACTCCAAGGCCAGTATTGAAGGAGGGAGAGATGTTCCAGATGCCAGAGCAGAGATTCCCCTACAGGCCGTGTTGAAGCYCAGAGTGAAGCAGGTTGTCCCTCTGCAGCCCTTGAAGGACCATGCCAGAGCAGACATCCATACTGCAGCCTGTGGGGGACCTCCCACCACAGCAGGTGGACATGCCCTGAATGAAGCYGCAGGCCATGGTGTGCCACACTGGAGCAGGCTCCTGGTGGGAACTGCAGCTTGTGGAGAGGAGCCCACACAGTCCAGATTTTCTGGTAGGATGTGTGACCCCATGGGGGAGTCACACTGGAGCAGGCTGTTCCTGTAACACTCTACCTTGTGCAAGGGATCCAGGCTAGAGCAGTTGTTGAAGAACTGCAGCCTGAGGGAAGGTCCCATGTTGAAGAAGTTCATAGAGGACTGTCTCCCTTGGGAGGGCCCCGTGCTGGAGCAGGGAAAGTTTGAGAAGGACTGAGAAGCAGAAACAAAGCATTATGAACTGACTGCAAATGCCATTCCCCATGCCCCTGTGCCACTTGAAAGGGAAGAGTTGGGAGTGAAGCTGAACCAGGGAAGAAAGGAAGGGTGATGTGAAGATCTTTTTTGTTTTCYTCTTATTTTGCGGGATCCTACCATCTTATTAACTGGCCATCTATTAAATTAATTTCCCTATATTGAGCCTGTTTTGCTCAATGGTTAGCTGTCAAGCAATCTCTCTGTCCTCACCTCAACCCAGGAGCTTTCTACTGTAGTTTCTCTCCCTGTTCTGCTGAAGAGGGGAAGTGACAGAGCACCTCGGTAAGCACCTGGTAGCCAGCCAAAAGCAACCAACCACAGCACCTCACAGGATGAGGACCAGACTGATGCGAGGACAGGAACAACTCTAACGACTAGAAAGATTGGCAAGAAAACCAACAGGTGTCCCGTTCTTCAGGCTTAATGCTTWACCCTTAAGAGAGCATCTCGGGTCACCTAACTATTCCATGAATAAATTATAAAGGCCACTGAGCCCTGAAGTTGGTGTTTATTGTTTGAGAATTATGATGTAACTAAACAAGGCACAGGCAACCAAGAACTGAACTTGGAATTTTCACATTTCTCTCAGATCCCAGAAACCAAAGACTTASAGATTTGGGAACTGGATACTCTTAAAGACATTTTAATAGGATGTGGTTGACAGGGCTAGGGCAGCTGCAGATCGACAGTGGAGATGGCACAACTCTGCCCACAGAACAAGGAACAACATCACATAGGACTGAGCAAGTGGAGAGTTAAAGTCATCTGCTTCCTTTCCATCTGACAAATTCACATTGAGTGGCTCAGTCTCTCTGTATCACACTTCTCASGCAGAACTTTGTACACAACATTCAGATTCTGCAGACTCAGCAGAATGCTGGGTGGCGTATGATTACTGACTCTAAATTCATTTATGTGAATCAACAGCTGTGTAGCTTCCTACACACCTGGCACTTGGAGAATCAATTTTCACAGAAAGGCTAGATAAAATGGCACTTATTTGATCAGGCAGAGTGAGGAAACATTTGTTATGTGACAAAAAATGGAGATGCAGATCATCCTGACAAGTATCTCATCAGCGTTTAAATACTGAATAATTTTATGTTTTCCTGTTTTCTGATTGAGGAGATCAAATTATTTTCTACGGAAATCTTGTAAGTTCTAGGTATTTGTATGTTTTTGGTGGGGTTTTTTTAAGCACTAGCTACATTAACTTTCAGGAAAAGATCTTCATACAAGTTCTTTTGACAAACTGAAACCCTCCTTTACTGTATTTTTACAGATATAAATATAAAAATGGCAAAAAAATTACTTGAGTTGCAACTGGTTGCAACCCCTTATCAAGAGCAGTAGTAAGAACATTCCAAAAAGGAAAAATTCAAACCTATGGACCCTCTTCAGTAATTAACCACAACAACAAAAAAAATAAACTCATGTTGTCACCAAGCCACTGCCTCTACTGGTATTTTCTCTCCACACTCATTTCCATTTCTTTTATTTGATTGTTTCATCTGTTTATTCCTATTGTGTGCAATTTGCAGATTTGGAAACTATCCTGTTGGATGTTGTTGCAYGTTGGATCAGCAAATTCTTCTTAATTTTATAAATAGCCTTGAACTTACTCAAACCGGAAACTCAAGGTGAAATGTGCAGGTGTATGAGCTATTATTAACAAAACGGGGGGAAATATTTACCAAAGTGCCCAGAAGAATACTGAATTTCATACTCAGTCCTACTCTACAGTTACTGTTCTATCAGGTTTTTCTCTATTTTTTAGTAATACTAGGAACTCTTAAAATCGCTATCAACTACTGAACTGAACAGAAAAAAAAACCTTAAATCAAACAGAACAGGAGTTTTACAATGAGTTTTCCAACTTATGCATAAGATTTTAATTACAGAAAAAATCAGAATTGAAATAAAATGAGGAAATTGTGGTTGTCACAAACGAACAAGCTGAGAAGAGCCTCATGAGAAGGCATATATGTGAAACCTAACATATTTTTAAAGTGACTGATTTTCAAACCGATGCCTTCTGGACCATCTTTTGAAGTAACATTAAGCATACAGTTAAAAGTACTCCTTGTCTTTTATTTCTCACTATATTCTCATTCTCAAATCTTCACTAAGTTTTCATAAAAACCTTTTAAAAAATTATTTTATTTAATACTCCCACCTTTCTCATRCTGCATATCTAAGAGGCTGGGACATTTTCTCTTCAACTTGCTATCCTAACCACCTAGTCTCACTTATAGTTTATGTATACTATGCCCTCACAGGTCTATGCAATACATTAATATTGATACATTAATTGACCCCACCATTTACCAGAAGWCCTTCAGACCCACTACATCTATTAATTTTTTTACCTTCCCAAATTACATAGGAAATTGAATTGTTTGATAGAATCTTTAACACTCAGCAGGAAATTAACAAATGAAGAGTAAAACAGCGGTACAAAATTCACCCTGCTTAAAAAAAAAACAAAACAAACCTATTTAAAAATACAATGAAATCTGACAAGATGACCATATAGTATACATATAAAAAACCCAGGCATGGTGCTATACCAAGCAGAGTTTGAACTGTTAGGATTTCAGTATCTGATAGGTCTGAGAAATACACAAAGCTAGCCCCTTTCCACAAGGAGTGGCCTAAGTCACACAGTAAAAACGCTTCTGCCCTTGAGCAGTTAAAAAAACAAGCTCAAAGCCCTTGTGAAATACTGAACAGGAAGCACCACCAAGATAATCATATGTAATTTAGTCTCAGCGGAGTTGCTGCCGTTAAACCAACCAAAGAGCTACAGCCAAAAAGCAATGAGGATCAGCGTGATGTCATGCTGTAGATAAAGACTTACAGCGGATTATGGACAGTGTTAGCAACCAGCCCACTTAGTGAAYTGGTGAACAGTTACAGACACATTCATTACATTCAAGGAAGGTRTTGCTGCTATTCTTAAACTGTTACCTATGCAAACAGCAGAGATAAAAACACATGAAGTATATTTGACAAGTCACACAGAAACATCAAAAGCAAACCTTCAGCTCCTAGTCCCTGCAATATTGTGTGTCAGTGAAGCAGGACCACCAAAATGAACACAGTTTGACTATCCACATGACCACGAACATCATTGCAACTTCCTCCTATTGCTTAATGCTTAAATGTTTTCTGGAATGGAATGAAAAAATCTTTAACATTTTAGAGAGACACATCAGTAGCCCAATGAGTAAATCACTCAAATCAGAGATTCACCCTTGTACACTATGGACTGTGCAAAGCTGATCATCCCATAGCAAAGA